CATCTAGGGAGCGCGACGCAAGTACGTGCTGTGCGGCGCAGCATAACTTCAGGCGCTTTAGCTACTGCCATCTAGGGGACGGTATATGAGACAGTCAACGCTACGGATAATATAGCTCTAGGAAGCTTTCGCAATTGTAATACATAAAATATTTTACGATAAAATCTTATTCATCCAGTCATCCCACTTAACTGACGTTCGATTTCAAGTGTTTTTAAGCAGTTAACTGGTTACTGGACTCCAGGCAACTGGCTTTGGTATCACTCCATGGCCCTTTTGCACGGCATGCGCTGATAGCGCTAGAGAGGCGCTTTCGATTTCCATGGAAACATCAACAAACTAGGACACTAATATTGGCTGACATTATTAGATTTGCGGTTTAAGTTGACCCAATTGGACACATTGGTGGATCCAAAGCAGCATTTGGGCGAAATGCCACCCTCGCAGCGCCCAAAATTGATGAAAGCTTGTCGTTTTTTAGAGAAGGAAAAATTGGCCTTTATTAGGAGAAGCGTGCTTTAAACTGCAAAGCAGGGCCTATGGAACCGAAATCCGATGAGTTTTGTAATTTGGAGGAACTTTTCTGGGGCATGCTCCCCCTCCCCCCCCCCCCAGCGTCCGAGACCGCCTTTCTAGATCTGCCTATGATTGGCAGCTCGCGAAAGGTGCTTGTGAGCGATAACGGCATGCCATGAAACAGGGTCTATGTCACACTGGCAAAATCAGGGGAAGGCCAGCTTGATAAAACGCCTCACTGACTGTGTCTGACCCTTTTCGTTCATCCCGCCACCTTCCAGGAATCCTGCATCTGTGTCTAACCAAAAGGTTAAAGTTCATATTCATTTTCATGAGAGGTTAGCATATAAATGAGGACTTATGTATTGATGTAATCAATATGGATTTTTCTTTTGGAATAAAACTAACATCGTCACTGGCGAATCCAAGGAGGGGAGCTGCAACCGGGCCAAATTCAATTCCAGGGGCGGCCCAAATGTGATTTGCCCCCTCCCCTTTCCAAAACGGACTCGTTCCTATAAACTTTCACCTGGGCCACAACGAACAACAGACGACGACATGCATGTATGTAAGAGCAAGGCAGTTCAATAAAACTTCATTTCCATAGCAAATTAGTCAAAGAATGTCAAAGCCGTGAGCATTTTACCTTTAATGAATTTCAGAGACCATGGCCATTCTTATAAAGTGCCGTACTATTCTATTCACGGCATTTGGTAACATTTACAGTGATACCAGTGCTGACAAAGGGATGTCCGAGTCAACGAAATGACTCTTTAGACCGTCAACAGACAACATACGATGGACTGAAATGCGTGAAAACCATATTGCATTTGATAGCCGTTTTCTGCAGCTGAACTTCAGCCATTGCTGCCATATCCATTCCATGGCGTTTATAAGATTGAGCTCTGCTGGACCTGACAAAAGCAGGTACCTACTTTCCTCATGATTTTTTACGCTCAATTAGAGGATGGGATTTCAAACACCTCACGCTCATTGATTTGTTACGATCGGGCCACCGCCTTGGATAAAGCTCACGCCAGAAGTTTTGTGTACCTATGTGTGTGTGTGTGTGTGTGTGTGTGTGTGTGTGTGTGTGTGTGTGCGAAGGGGGGTTGATCGGTATTCGGTACCTCCCGGGAACCATTATGGAGGGCCCAAAAAGTGTCCGGTTTTGGACCCTCCCTTAGCTGGGTCCACCAGTGAGCCTCGTTATTGCTTATCTCTAAAGTACGAGAAGGACGCCATCCACATAGCTTGTCACTGTGTAGGTATTGGCCAACGTTACAACTCATTTATCTCATGAGTAATGGATACGTACACCTGGAAATTATTCGATATCCACAGACGGTTCACGCATTCATTCATGCATACATTCATCCATGCATTCACTCATTCATCCATTCATTCATTCATTCATTCATTCATTCATTCATTCATTCATTCATTCATTCATTCATTCATTCATTCATTCATTCATTCATTCGTTAAAACTTGTCGATTATGTCTGAGATATTCATCAATGGCAGCACAGATTATTCTTGAATGGTTTGAGTATTTAACTGCCTTTTAATGTTCGCAATATTTCGTTGCATGAACTTCTCGGATATTATTTTTAGAGCACACGTATTGATCAGGGATACCTACAGGCTAGAGCAGTCTGAACATGTAACTTTTCTGTTTTAGTTCCTCTCATAAACGGGTAAGACTGAAAGGATAACTACATACATACGAACAGTACGCTAAAAATTGACGATTATTTTCGGAGCTTCGTGAGCGCAACCTTCTTACCGAAATAGACGGTCCTACTGCCCAAGCGCCGGGGGCTGAAGTCGAGCCCGAGGAGCTGTCTCTCGGACTCGGGAGCTCTCCGTCGTCTCCCCTGCGGCCCTGCCCTGTCTCCCTCCCACCACCTACAGTCAGTCTAGACTCCCGACACCAGTTCGTAGTAATCCGACACGCTCAGATCAGGTGACGAACGGTCGCATGTGTCAAAGTGCCAAAGAAAATGAATGGTGTGTAACATAAGACGTAGTGGGGCTGGTGATGTGGTCAAGTCTGTATGGGTCTGTTCCAGTCGCACTTCCTAACACCTCTAAACTCCTCCAAGATTGCTTCCCTATTCCAGTGGCAGCTCTAGCCCCTACTGCGCCAAGGAGGGCCCTACTCCAACCTCCTCTATCTTGCTCTTGAAGGAGTTTAGAGGTGTTAGGAAGTGCGACTGGAACAGACCCGTAGTGGGGCTGGTGATGATATCAAGTCCGGGGTCTGTTCCAGTCGCACTTCCTAACACCTCTAAACTCCTCCAACAGCAAGATAGAGGAGGTTGGAGCAGGGCCCTCCTTGGCTTTGTAGGGGCTAGAGCTGCCACTGGAACAGGGAAGCAATCTTGGAGGAGTTTAGGGGTGTTAGGAAGTGCGACTGGAACAGACCCTATGTAATCTCAGGTGCCTAAATACTAGTGCTACGGAATACATAAAACAGTATTTGTAGCATCATGTGTTGATACTAGCTGCCAAAGCTGCCCTTGTATCCGTCGTAGTCCGTATCAGTTATTCGCCCAGTCTATCGGCTACCCTCTGGACCAGCCAATCGCCATCCTTGATTACAATGCTCTGTCCGGCCGACGGCGGTGACCTCACTCGGATAGCCAGAAGGGAAGCTCCCGGCAAGGAATTGTCCTTCACCTGCGGGAGCATGCGGGAGGATCTGGATGGGGACTGGGGGACTTGAGCGCTTATCCTCAGTTCTCAAACAGCGTCCGATATTGATGAAAATGTGCCATTACCATGCATGTAAAGAATGCTTTATAATTGATATGCAAACAATCGTTTAATTAACGATCTCCATGCCACTTTGAAATGGTCTCGTCGGACCGAAAGGGTCGTAACCCAACAAAAAACAAAACAAAATAAAGCTCTTCGGCAACGCAGCTCGAAAGTGAAATCCGGTGAGTTTTGGAATTGGGTTAAGTTTTTTTTTTAGGTGTCCCTTACAGCGAGCACCCCCAGATCTGACAGTGCCTCCAGGACGACAATTTAGCCAGGCACTAGTTGGCCTGGATTTCACACTTAACAGTTCACACTCGTCGAAAACAACGGGTCTGGGTCCTGGCCTCCTTGGAGAAAACATCCGCTTCATAAGAAACAATGGCATGGAACTAAAAACGCCTTTTTGAAATGCCGCTATTTGCTCGTCGGCCAAAATAATTGCGAAGCAGTTCGGCCCGATCGATCAGAATAGGGGGCCTTGACCCAGAACAAGCGCGTATGAGCCACCCATCCTATCCTATGCGTGAACCACGTGTTCGTGAGCTAGGAAAACCGTCACCGAATAGGTACCTACCTATACTGTCTCGTCTCGTCTCACCGACTGCAATTGTGACCAAGGCCATATGTAGATTGTGACATCGTTGGACGTTGCGTGAGCATTTCCGTTTTTTATTTGTTCCTTTGATGTTCGATTTTTCATTCGGTCTTTTTTAATAAGCAAATAATTGCGCTCCCCTCATCCACTGAATTGTGCTTGGAGCAAGGCCATATAAGCCTGGAGAGCCCTCTCCCCCAGTCCCCCGGCCCCACCCCCGCACAGACACGGGTCCCTCCCTAAATGGAAACCTGGCGACGGGCCTGACGGTAATATTACGACATAAAAAGTCTATCAACAATTTGCATAGAAACATGCATCTGAGTAAGTTAAAGGGACCCTCCCACCTTAACATTAGTTTTGAGTTGAGATAGCCAAGTTTGCGGCCAGGCTCAGAAACCACCATTTATCCTGGTCGCAACCCCCGCAGCTTTATGGTGTTCAAGAAATTTCTTCCCTTTACTTGCAGGGTGGGACCAGCGTGGTCCCTATCTCTTAACCATTACGGGAATCTGATGACGTCATCAGGCTTTCGAACGTCCGTTAAATGTTTGACTAAAACGTTTTGTAGCACGCGGTGGTATATGCTGCTTTGCGCGCAACAAATGCCGCACTTTCAAATAAAGTCGCTAGGAACAGCGGAGATCCCAAAAAGTAAACAAAAGTAAAAGTCTAATATCTTGAAAACCGGTGAATATTTTTCGATGAAATTTGGTAGATATTCGTTTTTGCTCTTTCTGAACCGAGCGACATCACTTTCATGCCAATTCATTAACTTTTTTGAAGGTGGGAGGGTCCCTTTAAATTAAAAATTGAGTACAAAATTTTAATTTTAACAGTAGGAAAAGACTACATCCATTTTCATCCTCCATTTTGCAGCCGCGCTGCGGACGTCAGCCCCGTCGGCGCACCCCAAGCGCCCAAAGCCAGCCGCGACAGAAGGCGGCCGCCACCGGCCACCCTACCGCCAGCGGGCCGATCGTCAAGTCCCGAACCCTCGCCGACCGACCTTCATATATATACAAGACTTCCACCTGACGTCACAAACCCAGCTTCGGTTCGTCTGTGACGTCACTCGGCTTTTCCCGAACGCTGGCACAATCAGCTGACCACGGATTTTTACCCAGAATGCGCCACAACTCAGATGTCTCATGAAAGTGCGACGGGGAGGCTGTGTCGGTGGAGAGCTGCTATTTTGTGCCTTTTTCTGGCCTAATGCGGCATTCCCCAGTGGAAATCACGAAGAGATTATTGTCTGCGTTGGACGAGGAGAGCAATGTAAGGTTTTTGTAATCATATCTGCCCCGTAAGACTGAAAAATCGACCATTTCCACCCACGTTGCGACGTGCCGGCGCAGATGCACGCTGCCAGGTAGACGTGTCCGTGGGGCTCCGTTAAAACCGCGTTTAAGTCAATAATTTGGCCACGAATCTGCTCATACTTACCACCAATCGCTTCAGAAGAACTTCGCAGTCAAAATGAGACGCACCACGCCAGCGTTCACTAGTTTTTCACGAAAATCACTCGATCGGGAAATGTTGGGAGCGCAGCCTTTTCGCCTGCTTCTTCCTCCAACAATGGCCGCGGCTGGGCTTCGCGCATGCGCCAACGATCAACAAGCTCTGTGATTGGCCGAGCGGATGTGCCCCTCGTCGGCTCCCAGCTGGGCCGGGCCGGCCCGCGCTGGATCCCAAATGTGTAATGAAATGATGAGGCCGGGAAGTTCCCGGCGACCAAACATTTTGATAAATTTGAAATTAAAATTGCAATTCATTGTCACTGGATATGCTTGGCCAGAAAGTGCCGTGGTAATTGTTTTACTATAATTCAGTGAGTGGGTATAGGCTAGGTTTTCCCAATTTCAGCTTAGAAGCACTCAAAAAAAGGGTACGGTTTGCTTCTGAAAAAACATCAATTTTTGGCATTGTAGCTGCTATGGCTGGAAGTGTGTCAAAATGTTAACCAGTAAGATACTTGCACTTCGTACTTCAGTCGGAAATCGGATGAGGTTCCCAAAACCGAGTCGTTGGGTTTGCATTATTTCACAAATAAAATCACAGTTCAAGTTGAACATAAAATAATGCAATAAATCAAATTTAAAACACTTATAAGATCTGAATCTTGCCAGTATCAGTCTGGTGAATTGAGAAAGCATAATCAGCACATCATAAGCACATCATAAACCTCTGCTGCAAAAATTGTTTGGCTAAGCCTTTATACTGATACAGGGTTCATAGATAAGGTCACCTTAAAGCAATTTTGCAAGTGTCAGTAGTCTTTGGTGTGGACAATGGCATACCCCACATTCTAGAGGTTTTTGTTAGGTCTGTTGAAACCACTTACATAATTTGTTTTTGCTTTCAAAAGTAATTATGGGATGTTTACACTAACACACTAACACTATTTATAGCATGCTTATAGAAGGTGTGGCTGATGGTTGAACTTATGATGCATAGGTACTCCATTTGTTCGTTCGTTCGTTCTTTGGGGTTTACGGGCGCGTCGACTGCGGTGGTCATTTTGCGCCCATAACGCTGTACTGGTAAAGCGGATATGTCAACAGAGAACTGACGAACTTAGAACTACTTGAGATACGTTATACTAGTAAAACGAGTATATCACAGGAAAACTGATGGATTGAATATAAGAAAATATGCTGCCGGATGAAACCCAGGGTGAGTCATCACCCAGCAGGTGGCGAATGGTGGTGCCTGGGGCAATGCGGCCGAGGCAGCGTGTCCGGTTTGGTTCCAGGTGCGGGCAACTTAAGAGAATGTGAGTGACTGTGAGCGGCACGGCACAATGGCTACATGTTGGTTGATCATCTCCACGGAGGAGATAGCCATGCGTTGCATACGTATGCCCTATTCGTAGTCTGCAGAGGACCACTTCATGGTGTCTTTTGCCTTGAAAGCAGGACTGCCAGGGCTCCAGAGTAGGTTTCACCTTTCGTAGCTTCTCGGATCCATGGAGACGCCACTCTGTCTGCCAGCTAAACGTCGTAAAAGATCGAACGGCTGGGTAAAAATCGCGAGCCGGCAGAGGCAAACGACGGAGGCAGGGGGCCGCGGCCGCGCGTCTTGCGGCCGCGTCGGCAAGCTCGTTGCCTCTTATGCCCACATGGCTCGGTATCCAGCAGAACTGGATGAATTTACCTGCTCGTTCCACCGACGTAAGACGAGTTAAAATGTCTTGTACTATCGGGTTGTCTGGATTAAAACTCCGTAAAGATAAGAGGCTGCTAAGGGAGTCTGACAACTCCATTTGTTGATGTACCTATTTTGCTTCCAATAATTATTCACAGAATGGATGAAAATTACCCTGAAAGTTCATGTTCAGGGACTCGGGGGGGTGGAGCTCAGCTTAAACAATCTGATCAGCTCCATCACTGTCATGTCTGGTGCAGTGACAAATGTAGGCATATGCCATACAAATACACAGACATACAAATGCAAGCATGCATACATACATAGAATATACAGGGTGATTTTTTTAACTGTTAAAAAGTAAACGTCAATGGAGGTCCCTAAATCGAAAAATCTAGTGCAAAAAGCAATGCACGTGATAGATAAATCTGGGCTCAGTGACCTTGAACTCGGCAGCGCTACCCGGAGAATGTCTCACTGTGTGTCCTCCCACTTGGTGCGTATTGCTTGTGATTAACCCCTGTTGGCGGCACTTACAATGATGCTTACGCATCGTCGCTGGTGTGAGTTCGATGTCAGGCATTTTGCAAACTGCCTGAGAAAATAATTTCAGGCAGTTTGCAAAATGCCTGGTGGGCCAGGCAGTTTGCAAACTGCCTAGGCATTTTGCAAAATGCCTGGCTGGCCAGGCATTTTGCATATACATAAGCACAAACAGATCGTCCACCTTTTAGCGGCATGCCTTGTCTACTACTATACAGAAGTCGTCAGCGGCGTAGAGGGGATTTGTTCATCAGCACGGCCCTGGCAGACCGGGCGAAGCTGGCAGGTGGCAGCTGCACTACCTGGGGTGGGAGGCTATTCAACAGCGCCGCGGCTCGGTACTCAAAACGCCGTTTTCCGGTTTCGAGCCGCGGTCGGGGAAGATGAAGGAGATGATCCTGCCGTGTGTGCCTGTCTCGAAAATTTTGATTGGGGACGAACAGTGCAGCGAGGTTCTCGGGCTCTTCATGCTTAATGACCTTTTGCGCGATCGTGAGTGTGTTCTCTGTCGTCCGTCGCGGTGCGTTCTCCGTAATCCGGCCCTGTACGTTCTTTGTCCGCGTATCTGCGTTCTTCGTCCATGTCTCAACGCACTCCGTCCGTGTTTTTGTTACTGTCCATGTCTGTGTACCATACGATTGTGTCAGTGCCTTCTCCATCCGTATTTGTACCATCTCTGCCCGTCAATGTGTGTTCTCCGTCCCTCTCTGCGCTTTTTTCGTGCATGCCTTTCGTGCTCTGTCCGCCTTTGCGCATTCTCCGTCCGTACATTATCCGTCCGTGTCTCTGCAGTGTGTAGTATCCTAGCGGGTGCCTTTACCATCATTGTGTGTATTCTTTCTTCGTGTCCGGGCCGTTTCTTTCCGCGTCTGTCCCCCGTTCGTGTCTGTGCGTCCTCTGCTAGTACCTGAGCGTTAGTTGACCTCCCCCTTCCCGTGGCAGGTCATTGACATGGCTGTGGTGCGTGACGTCATCAGTATCCTCGAGCAGCTGCCCATCTCCACAGAGGCGCTCGAGGTGAGATTCCGACTGTTGGCACTTCAAGGCCACCAGATAATCATTTTTTTGTGTCAAATGTCTGCAAAAGATGTTGCGCTTGCATCACCGACGGCACCAATGTTAATGGGTTTCGTAAACTGTTTGACCCAAGAACTGTGTATGACCCAGTATTTGCATGGGTGTTCCCCATGCTGTTCGACAATGTTTTCCTGCTCTATGTTCTGAATCAAAACGAATCCAGCTGAGTACAAATACATGTGGCACAACCAACGCAAATTGATCGTCGTTGTATCAACACAAATTTTTGTAGCTGCTGTTGTTGACTGGTAACATCTGTTCATGTGATTTCAGGCCACACGATTGGGCAAGCACATCAATGACCTGCGCCGGCAGTTGGGGGCGCAGGACGCCAGTCTGGCCAAGCGAGCCAAGGCGCTGGTGCGCCGCTGGCGAGCACTGGTCATCCCGCCGCAGACGGAGCCGGCTCCGGTGAAGCCGGCCCCGGTGCGGCGCGCCAGTCCGTCCGGAGCCAGCCCGCACTCGTATCCCTCCAGTGCCAACACCAGTCCGTGTCTGTCGCGCTCCACCACGCCCGGCCTGAACAAGCTGAGTCCGGGCCTGGTGCGGCCGGCGCCGGTGAGTCCGGCGCTGAGCGCCCGGCCGCGGCCGCCCACCGCGCCGCCGGCCACACACGAGGTGTCCTTCTCACCGCTACAGGCGCAGCCGCCCGACAAGACTGACGTGGCCAACAAGCGCAAACGGAAAGCGGACACAGCTGGCGGCGGCGAGATACGGCCCGACAAACGACCACGTTTCAACGGTGTCCAGGACGAGTGCAGTAGAGATAGTATCTCAGGCGAAATCAATGTCGAAGTGCCTGCCGCGCTGAAGGCGCCGGCGCCGGCCAAAAAGCCGCGCCGCTCGCGCTCGGCGCTCCCCGAAGTGGCCTCTTTCGATGACCTCAGCGAAAAGGTGTCTGTGGCGCGAACGAAGCGCGTCAAGACGACGCAGGAGCTGCTGTCGGACCTGGCGGAGCGCAGCGGCGACTCGGCGCTGGCGCGACGCGCCTCCCAGCTGCCGGCCTCTCAGCCGCCGCCGCCGCCGCGACGCGACGCCCTGCACGACCTCACGCGCAACAAATCGGCGCACATCGAGAAATTCCTCAACTCACAGGGCACTAAGCGGCGGCGCACTCCCATAGAGACGATAGACCTGGAGGAGGACGAAGAGCCGGGCGCCGCGGCGGCCGAGGAGCCGGCGGCGCCGCCCGAGCCGCCGCCGGAGCCGCCCAAGCCGTGGCCGACCGAGGCCGAGATTCTGGCTCGCCTGCCGCCCCTCGACGAGGACGCAATCGTGTGGAGTGATGACGAGCCGGCCGAGACGACGCCGGCGCCGCGGCCGCCGCTCGACCCGGCGCGCCTCGGCGGCGAGCACTTAGAGAACATTACCGGCAATACGAACCACCAGGGCGAGTTCAGGGAGTGGCACCAAGTTGTTACGGCATCCTCGTGCGACGGAGGTGTGCTGCCCATGTTGCCTTACGTTATAATTGATTAGGCTGCTTGCCGTTTGTGCTTATAGTCGCTTGCCGGGCCGCGGATGCCAGCGCCGTGCCGCCGGGGTGCTGGTGGCTCGCTCGCGCCCGCGCACGCGCACCGTTGTCCGGGATTGAGAGCGTGACCCTGACCATTGAGATGATCCACTCGGACTGACCGACTAGTCGCCCCAACCGTGTTTTTTTCTGATTGTTCGTTTGGTTCGTTAGTCTCTTGTGTCCGTGTCCCAGTCCTCTCTGCAGCAGGCACCACCTTCCATTGCAGTCTTTCAGCGGACTACCGAGTATCTCATTTATCACTAAACACGGCACGGGTCGCCAGTCGACCGGCCGGAGGAAGGCACACGCCGGCCCGGCTCGGCTCGACTGGCGGCCCGGCTGGCTTGTTCCACGCACTGTACATAGGGTACTGTTGAGTTGCCAAATATCCGTTGTTTGTGATAATTACACCTTCAATACATGATCAAATACGCATTAATTGGGGGCCCGTTCCAGTTCTGGTTCCGCGGGAGGCGCCGCCCGACCGTTGATTCCAGGCCCGAGTCGCCGCCGGGCCGCCCTCCCCGGCTGCTCCGGTGTGCCGCTGATCTGTCTGACTGGGGTGGGGCATTGTTGACAAGGCCGGACAGGCGCCCATCCAGTTACGGGACTTGTCTCAATTTTGTAAACCGAGCAGAGAAAATGGCCAACTGTTAAGCGCTGAATACATGAGCTTTGCGACACTCGTGTTTGACGACTTGCCAACGGCTGTGTATCATCTTGGTGTATCAGGGCAAGGACAGAAACACAAATTAATTTCAAGTTCAAGACCACACTAGGGCATATGAGAGGGCGATGATGACGTTGGATGGGTTCCAAGGGAACTCTTGACTTCATGGGTTGGCTGATTACGAGAAGCCCGGGTTTATTGTTCATTTATGTCTGCGAACTGTTTCTATGGCTTTGTGTGTCCAAATGCTGCTTGAATCCGAGAATAAGTCAACTTGCTCAGCTTTTTAACTTGCTCAACTTGCTGTACAGCAATTTGATCGTGTCCCAATGGCAGAATTCAAATATCCTGTCCCTACCCTATCTTGTTATCAGATTGTAATACGAAGGCGTCGCTCGAAGCTCATTTTGGCTACAATCATATGATTCCAATCACTTGATGATCCCTTCAAAACTAGAGAACGTTCACTGAGTGATGACAAATTCATCACACAATAACTATCGACATCATCCTAATGAATAGGCTTCGGCAAGTATCTGGTCAAGCAGAGTCATTGAAAAAGACCGAATAATAAGACATCCGGACCTGCGTGTCAGTTTGTAGATTGTGCCAAGAGCCTTCGAATCAGCAGCCAAAATTATGTTAGCTCCCCACTTTAGACAACTAAGAAAAATAATTATTTCTCACTTTTGGCATTCATTTTTTATTTTGTATGAAAGTGATGCATGACAGCTATATTTCGATCCTGAGATACCGTTATGTTACAAAACGATATATTATCACACAATAAGAAACAGTATAATACCGGTTTGTCTTGTCAACAGCAATATCAATCGTGTATAAAGCCCCACCCGTCCCTCCCCCACTCCCCATTATCGCCTGGTCATACGTCCAGCCCCAGCTGATCTCTCAGGAACTCCAGCACGGCTGCGTGGCTGGGCAGGACGTTGAAGGTGCGCCGCAGACTGCGCGGTAGCTGGCGCTCCAGCATGTAGATGAGGTGGTGGTGCGTGCAGGTGAACGGCGTGCCCGTGTCGGTGGCCAGTCGCAGCCAGTCGCGCACACAGCTCAGCGGCGTGAATTCTGCCCCGCTGAATAGCGCCGGGTTGTTCAGGAGACCCTGGGCGGCCATCACGCCTGCGGGAGCAACGAAATGGTGAGGGTGGGGACTGTCAAAGAACGGTGTAAGGCGCAGGGGCAACATCAGGGAACGGGTCGACGAACAAGGCCTGAGATATGAAATGAATGAACTGTACGAGTGCATGAATGAATGAAATGAATGAATGCAAAGTTGCTTGGTGCCATTAACTTCACAAAACGACGCATGAATGAATGCATGAATGAATGAATGCATGAATGAATGAATGAATGAACAAGTGAATTAATAGTTAAAAGCGTTAGTGAAAGAATCGATCGAATGAATGTATCGGTGCAATAAATAATTTGCAGAATACTTTTACTTCCCACGAGTACTCAATTATGACCATTGTTCAATGACCAATCTTAAAATAAACGATAATCTGCTTCATGCAGCATGTTAAGTAGTAAGTAGTAAGCAGCCTGTCACAGCTGACCCAATCTTGCTCAGCCCTAATGACTACCAATCCCGGCTTGCTGTCACCTCTCCCCTCCAGCGCACCTTTGGCGCCGGTACTCTCGGCCGTGCTTAGCGCGTCCTGCAGCGTCCGCACGTCTCCGTTAGCGATGACGGGCACCCGAACAGCGGCGGCCACCGCGGCGATGGCCTCCCGGTCGACTGGCTCGCGGCGCTGGGTGATGGTGCGGCCGTGCACCGAGATGAACGACACGCCGGCCGCCTCTGAGCGCCGACACAGCTCCACCGTCTCCCTGAGGGAGGAGCACGGGTCGGCGGTGTGGTGAGCAGGCACGCGGTGAGCGCCGGGAAGAGAGTGTGTGGTCGGAGACCAAGCAGGGCAGCCGAGCGGTGTCTAACTAATGCTAGAATGGAAGACGAGCCGAATTTAAAGAAGACTTTGATATACATTTCTCGAGTGATGGGTAGCGTATAAAGCCCACATAGCATCTTGTGAGGACAATGCTACAAGTTACAGCACAAGTTACAGAAATTGACGCTGAGCTGAGCGTACCTGATATCCTTGTGGACGCGTATCTTGACCGAGACGGTGAAGTCGGTGTCGGCGATGCGGTTCCGGGTCTGTCTGACGACGTCGAACACCAGCTGCGGCTTGTTGATGAGGCAGGCGCCGATGCCCTCCTGCTGCGCCCAGCGCTGGGGACAGCCGCAGTTGAGGTCCACGCCCTGACACCACCTGGCGGCAGTCGGGGAGGGAGGGTCGGGCTGAACTCTGAAGGTCAGTCAGCCCGCGAATATTTACTCGGTCAACCGACATGCTTCTCAGGACTATCCACGTTACTGCCCATTACTTTTGAAGTAATGAGGTACTCTATTTAACAGCATACCCGTAAGAACAAAACTAATAATAAAAGTCCGTCAATTTCAGGTTCTGTAGCAGTAATATACGAACTTGCATGGCCTGCGACTGGCGACAATAACGTTAATGGTACCGAGGCGGCTGACAAATGTAAAAGCCTGGTGCTATTACGCCTAACGGGCATATCGATCCGCTCACTGAGGTCAATATTCTCTAGGCTGAGGCGATCCCGGGGTTATCTTACTTGGCCACTAGTTCAGCAGCGCAGGCGAAGTCGGCAGCGTTGTTGGCAGCGAATTGTACAATCAGCGGCTTGTCGGCTGTCAAACACAGAGGAGGAGGCTCGAAGTTACGCTGGAAGGGTTGAAAGGGAAACGGGCGGGCAGAGATCGGCACGAGCAGTGCTCAGAGGGCAGTCTGAGAAATCGTGAGATCGATCGTGAGTCCTGAACGAGGATTCTGGGCTCATGCACTCACTGGTCACTGGTCAGTTCAGGGCACTAACGCGCCAGGGTCTAACAGCACTGGAGGGTCGACCGATGCTATTTTGTACACACACATGGTACAGAATAGCTCCATTAGTCCATTCGTTAGGGACCAACACCTCCGCTTTGAAAACAACATAAAGTAAAGCTAAAATATTTCATCTAAACCTATGAAAGATACGTCAGTCTGAGACTGGATCATCCCATCAAATGGCCTGTTGGCCAATTGATAGATCTATCACTCATCACTTCATCACCCATCTAACAAAATCGAGAGATTGAATGGGGCAGGAGGCTGAGACAATGACACGTTACTTATCTTCAAGTGTTATTTTCAGTTTCGCCTCCAGTGTAATTTTAAAAAATGCATGATTAGGTAAGTTGCCAACATTATACAGGTAATGACTCACAATCAGCAAAGATTTTCGAAGGAAAACAGTCTGAAAGAGGGAAATGAGGGGCTTCTCAGGCTCAACCGTTGTGCCTCGCAAGTCACAGAAAACGCATTTCTCCCTGAAAGATCGGTCAGTTGTGAAAAATCCCATATCTGTAAATGAAGAAGTTCGATGTAAAAGATTGTCCAATGGTGTTACACTGTTAAGACCTTATAAAAATGCATGATCTATCACCATTTTAGCACGCCCGTGCCTTCAGGCTTCAGCAGTCTTACCTGCGTTCGTCGTAAATTCGCTGTCTCTTGCTTTCTGAGATTTAACGAATGAATCTGACATGATCATCGGTGAAAATGCAATATCACAGCCATAAATCCTGACAAGATTGCGGAATGCGAGCCTGTAACACAAAGTGGCACATAGGATACGAGTCAGAACAAAAATAGAGACAAAAATACCTTTATTAGCATGTTACAGTGGTTAAATGTTACAGTGGTCAGTTCAGCATGTTACAGTGGTTAAATGATACATTCCATCGAAATGGGCGGAAAAAATGCAGCCACCGTTTCCAAACAAACACTAAAATATTGTCTATATTAAAAAAAGGATGTATGCTCGAACAATACACTGCACTGAAAAAAATTAACAAGTAACAATCCATGGGGATGTTTTGAAGTGTGCTTGCCCTAGGTAAATGTGATACTGGCAAGTACACACGACATAAGTCCTTTGATCTTACTTGGAATAGCGAACCATTGGAGCACACACAAACGCTGGCTTCTCAGCACACAGAATCTCCAATGGTTTAACGGAATCTACTGTCTGTGGCAATAGCTCAGCAGCCATCGTCATCCTTTTAATATCTGAAACAAATCAAATCAATAGGAAAAGATCATTTTTGGCACAGATGAGTAAAAACAATGATAAAATCAGACAGCCTAAACTCATTGTGCTAACTCTTGGAGGCTAAAGCGACAAAAAAAAGCAGAATGGGAAATCAGTTCAATACACTTCGACATTCTGCAGGTCGACACTGACAACGACTAATGACTATGATTCTTCATTTTGGGACTCTGGGCACTATGGGCATTGGGCATACCTTGAAAAGCTAGTATCACGACACAAACACCTTATGTTAGTCATCCCTTACATAACCCTGGGAACCATGCGGGCCCAGAAACCCCAAACATTCCATCTCCAACACTCAAACAAAACATGTCAGGCCAAAAGCCTGTCATTACATTTAATCTGACTCCATCTAGGGCTCCACTAAAAAACAAAATAAGGGCTGTGAAGTGGTGGCTCAATGTTTTGACAAAGCAGCTTCTGTATCAGCTGCACCCCATGTCATACATCCACAGACAAGCATAGCTTAAATGGCCACCCATTCTCATTGATAAAAGGTCAGATCTCCAGCAAAAGCAATAGCACCCCACCAGTTCTAGACCAGCCATCTGGCCTGGTGCCGCCTGGTAGTTGATTGTTGAATTAAGTGTGCACAATGGGTAGATGTAGATATAAAGTGCAAAATTAACCAGCAATCTGAAGTAGGAATATGGAAGATTTGGATGACTCTAGCGACCAGCCAGCTCTGAGTATCAGTAGTGAGTTCAACCTGAACTTAGAAGTTAGAACTAGGTTCATTCTCACTGTTCCCATCATTATTATTATCACCAACTATTCTGAGTGTAGGTACCTGTCTGTGCCAAAGTCAAAAGTGGAGGCTGGCACAGGCAGGCCTCCAGTCTGACAGGCCTAAATTTGTCCAAAGGTGATGGATATCTATAACAACTGTTTTAAATTATTATCCTTATTCCTATTTCCTGCCCATTTCAGAGAGCTCTTCCAGCTTTTCCATTCCTAAAATCTCATTAAATCTGTACTGATTGCAGAGGATGTGCTTGGATGTTAGGGGGTAAGCTGCCTAGTAAAATGCTGCTGCACTTTTGGTATTAAGGTTGAAACACTGCAATAAAAGCTATCAATACCAATAACGAATTGAAAAATGGCATCCATGAAAATGGATCATGAAATTCAATTATCATAAAATGTGTAAGGATTTGGACTGGGTTTAGTCAAGAGTTCAGTACAGAGGCACTGGCACGGTCTGTTCGCAACAACGCCACTTGGCTAGTCAAAATTACATTACATCTGTACAAACAAGAAGAACACTAAAGGCTTTAAGCAATTTTTTTAATTTCATATTTAATTAAAAAAGATATAAGACTGCCCACCAAAAACGTGAAAACAAATATTTGTCAGAAGTGCGCCAAATAGTATGAAGGATTTTTTTGTGGCCATATTTGCCTATAATGCTTCCAAATCCTTCATAGCAGAAAATAATTGGCTAGTCTCCCCCTGAAATTTCACTGCACTTGGCGATTTATTTCGTTGGTATTTCGGTGGAATTCGAATGCTTGCAACTGTTCCACGCTCACATAAAATCGTTATATCATGTGAAACCTGAGGCTATCAGAACAAACAACAGCCATAAACATCAGCGCGTTAGTACGCCCGCGGCCGAGCCGATTTGGGATTTCGTCGGGAGTTATGGTCTATGGAACCAAGACCATTCGGTTCGGGGAATGATGCCCAAATACGTATGATACGTTTCACGTTTTAGTCAATTCCTAGGTATATGGTCAGGTATATCCTCCTCAGAAATGTCCTCCTAGGAGGATATATACCTTAGGTAAGGTATATTCCTCGGTAAAGGCTCACCCACTACCCAGGTTCCCGCTTCCCAGCCCAGTGAGACTCTGCCCGTCTAAAAATACATTTATGATCGACGTGGATGCCGTTTCCCTGCGTATGGTTCTCTATTCAATATAAACAGATCATTCCGAGCAATCAACTGTCGCTGAATGCAGAAAATACTTTCATATTTTCGCCTATCCTATCACGGAACCGGTCTTCCTTGCTCCTTTCGACACTGGGACGGCTTCGTACTAAAAGGGGGCGTCCAGTCGCCGTTCACGAAAGCTACGACATCTTTGGTATCTTCTCTCCGAAACATCAAATGAACACAAAGTTGGTGATTGCGAATAATATATTGGATCCACACAAATATGACAAAACAAGACAATTGAGCACTTAGTTAAAATACTTACGTTATGTTGCTCTGTCAGTGTTCAGTTCATATTAAACACTTATATTGACGCAAGGAATAGTGGGACCAGTTATTCAGCCCATAGTGTCTCTACTTTCTATGTTGCCACTGCCCAGCATCCGATCCAAAGATGCATTACACATATCACCTCACACAAGCAAACATTCTATACAAATTAGGACAGAGATATGACCCCATCTGATATTCATGGCAAATCATTCAAAACACTCGCACTCTAAATTGCTCGTATCAGGTTCACAGACGATGCAGACGGCACCCGCACAGGGGTACCTGTCGGGGCGAGCAGTATTACGTATACCGGGCCGGCACAGGCGGCGGGTTACACTGGTCGGGGAGAGGGAGAGAGCTCGCTATAACGGAGCCCCGACCGACGCAACGGCCGCGCTCTGCCGCTCTGCCCCCACACAGACACACACACTCGCACCACTACGCATTGGCACTGGGTACACTGACAGGACACTGAAGACGAACCGGTCGGCCGGCGACGCTATACGAAGCTGATATTGAGCCTCTCGGCCTTGTCCAGGTAGATGGCCTTTCGGGACCGACCCGAGGCCAGCTCCTCGGTGGGGGCTGCCCGCGCCGGCGGCCGTGGCGGCGGACCACGCAGCAGCACCTTCGGTTTGGGCGGCAGGGGCGGCGGCGGCGTGCCGGCGGCGGCCGCAGCAGCAGCAGCCGCCAGACGGGGCCGGGCTGACGCCGAACTTTCCGTCAGCGGCGTCGGCGGCGAGAAGTCGGCCTCGTCCAGGTGCAGCGACGTGGCCATCGGGTCGGGCGGCGTGGGCGGCGGCGGCGAGGCCGGCTCCGGTCGGCGCGGCGTCAGGCGCGGCATCGGCGGACAGCCCAGCTGGCCGCTGTCGCCCAGGCCGAGACTGAGCCGGCCCGACGCGTCAAAGTCGCCCTGGAAGTAGTCCTCTGCCTGCTGGTCGGTGGGCAGGATGCCGCCCAGCTGCCGCGAGCTGCGCCAGCCGCCCGGCACCATCGAGAGACGGGCGTCGGCGGCGCCCGAGCCCGGCCGGCGCGACAGCACCGGCGCGCTCAGCCGCTCCGGGCGGTAGTTCTCCTTGTTCTGTTGACGAAAGGAGTGACAAACCGTCAGACGACTCACGACAGGCAGTGCCTTAAAGATCCCTTACAAGAAACTCGCCAACAGAGGCGACGGGCAAGCCTGATTCAGCGACACGAGCTTTATCGTCCCCACTGCATTCTTTGAAACACAAGAGCTTAATTGAGATTAACAGCACTCGTAGAAAAAAACTTACTGCATCAACATCAACCGGCCCAAAGGCCCCAATTGCCCCACATGTCGAAAGAAATGAGAGTCGAATGCTTACACCTGAGATCACAGTACGGTATAATCACTCGACAGCGCAAAACTCTCGCGGCTAACTCACTAATAGCCATCCTATTTCGCTCTCTTCCTCACCTGAACAGCTTCGCGTTTCCGCAGGAAATCCGGCAGCTCGAAGTTGATCTCTGTGCCGCGCTGGTCGTCCAGTCGACACATCTGAGCCCGCTTCAGCCCCTCGTACAGCGCCACTGTAGAACACGGGGCGGGAATCCGTCAGGATGGCGATACAAACACACAGACACCACCGGGTCAACGACAGACAACGTGAGAACAGACCATTTGTTACACGGGACGATACCTGCTCCACGTCATCGACGATCGCGATTAGCAAAAAAAAAAAAAACAATATCTCATTTCACTAGCAGTTTGAATCAAGCTTATTTCGAACCTTCGTAATCGATTGCATGTGATTATTCTTCAAAACACCAGCTCATCCCACTTCTAATACAATGAAGTGCCCCCACTCCTAATACAATGAAGTGCCATGTCTCAAAGCTCACCGTCCGTTTCCTTGGGGTCGGCCAGCCGGGGCGGCGGCGGCGGCGGCGGCGGGCCCATGGCGCGTGCCTCGGCCGCCGACTGGTGGCGGTGCGCGCGGCGCACCTCGCGGCCGGAAGTCAGTGAGTTCCGGCGCACCAGCGAGGCCAGCGGGCCGGCAGAGCGGTCCGAGCTGCTGCCGTCCGTCTGGGAAGCGAGGGGTCCGCCGAGGTCAGAAAAATTTTCGAGGCGGTTAGCGTGGAGGATGACAGTCTGGGTGAGGGAAGGGCGAATCGAGCCCTTATTTCACAGACACGGAACAGCACACTCAGAACTGAGGCAAAAAGCATAAATTTCCACTAAATGGCAGGCACCGGCAGCCCCTCCGTTGTGTACTATACCGAAACCAACGAAAAACTGAACAAACGACATTATCCGTTTACCATTACGTAAGCCACTAAGCTACTCTGGCAACCATGCTCCAGAAAAATATTGATGTGACGGCCTAGCTGCTAACTACACTCAGCAGCCCGTCTACCAGATTATCGCCTTTTTACCCCTCTCATTCGATCTGTCCACCCACCTTGCTCGAATTCTGGTCCAGGTCAATGACGCCAAAATCATCAAACGTGCCGTCCGCCTTTCCCTTGAGCAGATCGTCAAACACCCGGTTGGTGATCTCGTCCAGACTGGGGAAGGCTCTGTGTCGCGAGTCGGCGGCGGCAGAGGAGGAGGGTGGTTCGGCGGCGGACGGCGTCTCGTCCCGCCATCGCACCACCAGGTGGCGGTTGTCGAGCTGGGTCACCGGCACCTTGGAGTCCAATGGCGCACCGCCACCGGACTGAAATAGAGACAGGGATGGCCGTCAGAGGGCGGGTATGGGTAGCCAACAGCCTACCGAGCAGCTGTGCATTCTATAGTCGGCATTCTAAACTGTATCCACTGGGCCTAACATGACTGAACGTCTTCTTTGCCCAGTTTCTACTGACAGTCTACAATAGGGCATTCTACAAGAGCTGAACTTTGTTATTACACATTGACACATCGACGCTCGGATGACTAAGTCCATAGCTTTGTTTTATACTCCACCACTCATGGTTTTGCGTTTGCCACTCACCTCAAAGACGTTGACGTTCTCCAGTTTGCATCCATACTTGTTGAGGATGGGCCGGAGCACCTCACACGTTTGCCGGTTGGGTTTGGCCTTGACGCCGATGGTCTTCTGATTGGGCAGGTCCACACGGAACAGGACGCGCTGTTCCATGCGGATCTCCTTGCAGCCCAGACAGCACGAGTCGACCGACTGGTCCAGCGGCTGGGGGACGCACAGGATGGACAAAAGTCAGTCGGAGGAGAGAATGGGTGAATGCACAGAGAAAATTAGATGAAGAAAAAGTGCTGCTGATTCATGGCAGAGTGAAAAATGATATGCTTAGCATATTTTACTTATCTTTTTTAATGCTCGAGCGTTTACGAGTAAGTGCGTTCATCCCCGGTTCTGGAGAACTAGCCAACGTCAAAGGACTATAGCTGCTGAATTTTGCACGCTCACATCGGTAAATTCCCTGTTCTTTCTCACCACCAGTTCTTCCCTAGCCGTGCCGCGTCACTCACCCGGTCGCTGTTGGCTAGGTAGACGTCCCACGAGTTGTAGGGCAGGCCGCGACGGTCGATCAGCCGCTGCAGCATGGTGCGTACCGAGTCGCCCGGCGCTGCCTGCACCACGGCCGAACTGGAGTCGGGCAGCACCACGCGGCACAGCAGACACTCCGGCTCGGCCGACGACGCGGGCACCGCCGCGCTCGACGGCGCCGCCGCCACCGCCGCCGACGGCTGGTCGGCCACGTGCAGCGACTGCGCAGACGGAGCGACGGGGAATCGGTCAGAGGTGCGTAAAGTTGCAGATAATTAGGGTTTGTGTGATAAAGTAGTTCACAGTTATCCGATTGGCAGATAAGCTTCATTGATGCTTCATGAGAGCGGAAGCATTTGCTAAGGCATACATATATGTATATGGCATACCCACTGCAAAGCGATGTTTTCTAAGACCATGTTGAACACCCTAAGACAATGTACAAAACGCAGTGGTCATCCTGCATCTATGTAGTATTCCAGCAATACGCTGACGTCAGCCGCGGTTAAAATGTGATACAGCGTGTCTTTACGCCCTGTGTCAGCACTATCCGATAGCTCCCAATACCATGAACTGACATTGTACACCGCGGTCACGACTCGGATTAACTGAAATTCTATCTCACTCCAACGGAAAACCGGCTACCACCGGTTCCTGGCTCCTAGTCCTGAACAACCAACGACAAAGAGCAGCGGAAGGCCCCGGCTGCACGGGTCCGACCGAGGATATGACGCGATGTGAGGTCGTGAGCTCACGCTCTCCGCCCTCTGCCCATTTCCGCCCGCTCTACTCGGTCCGACTCTCACCTCGCGACTGACGGCGTTACGCTGCAGGTTGGCCAGATCCGCCGAGGCCAGCGAGCTCCGGCTGCCCGACAGGTCGCTGCGCACCGAGCCCGTCTCCTCGCGCTCGCGCTGCCGCTTCTTGCGCTTGTAATCGGCCTCGCCGCGGTCCTTTGACTTGGAACGGTCCTTGCGGTGCCAGGGCAGCAGCGATTTGCGCCGCCGCTCTCCCGATTCCTGCTTGCCGCCCTTGGATTTGCTCTGCTTCTGAGGACAGATATCGTGGGAGGTGCGAGTGAGGCAACAGGCACGCGGAACAACAGAGGTCACATCGGGTAACGCCCCGCCAACACCTGACGGAAATGATTCAGAAATGTACTCGTAATTCCTCGAGGCATGTTTGAGGAAAATTTACGAGTTTCCGAACACCAAAAAACGTCTCCAGCGTTGCATAGGCTTTCCTCAAACGTACTTAATTTCCGTTTGAGAGTATCACCCGTCATATCGTCAGATTTCAAATGTCGGCAGTCAGGGACACTTCCGCAATCCGAACTAATCACAGTCCCCACATTTCGTCACCGTTGAATCACCAGTAATAAAGACCATTCGCTACCGTTTTCTACCTAACAAACGAAAACCAGCAGACAATATCCACCGGCTGTCAGTGCCCACAACTCATCTAGCACGCCAGCCTTGCGGGGTTTACAGAGCAGCGTCACACAACTCACAAACACAAACCAGACCACACACACAGGGAATTTGGTCTGATCTGGTTTGGACCACACATACCTTATCCTCGGGCTGGAGCCTCAGGTCCGGGTCGAGGGCGTCGCCGCCCAGGTAGGGCAGCGGCTGACCGGCCGCCTCCCGCGACACACAGTTTGTGTAGATGCTCGCCTTCAGGAACCGAGGGAAGCAGTCGAACTTCATCAGCGTGAAGATCTGCTGCTGCGCCTGTCGGGTGCACCGAGTCGTCCGTCAGATGCTGATCGCTACGTCGTAACTCAGGGGACTAACAGTACCGCATCCCATGTGACCCCAGTCAATAAAGATCGCGGACGCGGTCGCGGGCACGTGATAAGCAGCTGCACCGCCGCCCCGCGACATAATCCAGCGGTACATGCTTGCAGCTGCTCGCAGATCCCCGCTGCTATACATGCTTGCAGCTGCGCGCAGTTCCCCGCTGCGATGAATGCTTCGTCAGCTGATCGACCCCAGCGTCAGCGATTGTTCGGCGTCATCCGATGGTATCCGACGGCGTCAATGAACGCGCAATCATCGATTAATGCGACCACCCGGACGGGCGTGCGGCGACCGTGAATAGTGAAGGATAGGGGAGGAAGGGAGAAGAGGGAGGCAACGACCCAGGATGCAAAGAGATAGGAAGTCTTTGGTTCATAGGGAACGACGGTCAGAAGATAGTAGCATGTCACGCAAGAGTGACATTAAGACACTGAGATAAAACATCCCAATAAAACCCCATGATTAATTCCAACGTTGGCGCTCACGGTCACACATAACCCGTCCCTAACCAACTCCATTCCCAATCAAACACCACCGCCGTCCTTCCTCGCGCCGTACCTTATCGAAGAGCGTGACGGCGGCCTGGTCGACGCCATCCTGGGCCGCCTGCTGGGCCTGGCTGTCCACATTGACCGGCTCCGGCGCGCCGACACACAGGTGCCGCTCGTAGATCTGCAGCGCCACCTGGCGGCGCGCCTCGGCGTCCGAGAGCTGCTTGTAGCGCTCGCACGCCACCCAAAAGTAGATGTTCTCGTGACTGAACTGACTCTTGAGGAACTCCTGTCGGTGATAGATGTGGTGTCAGGGCTGGGAGAGGGGATATTGGGGGGGGGGGGGGGGGGTCGGACATCGCCCCTGGACCGGTCTAAATCACAGGTGACGCAGCACCTGTGCCGGCCGGCCGCACAGCCGGGCACAGGCCCCGCCGGCCGTATCTCCGATCACGATTGAATAAAAAGCTCGGTCATCACCATGGCTCAGACATCTGATCATGACATCAGGAGTCTCAATTGGATGCTGCATACCAATGCCAGTTCGGCTCGGCGGACAGCCCGCCCCGACAACACGGCGCTGGGTGCGGGAGTCCCGCCGACTGGTCCGACCAGTTCTCCCTACACGTCCCCCGTCCAGCCTACCCCGTCCCCCGCCCTCACCGCGAACGTATGCAGGCCGGCCGGGTCGTCCAGCAGCCGCTCGAACGATGACGCCCAGGAGGCGGCGCGGCCGCCCTGGTCCGCCCCGGTACTGACCGTCCGCTCCGACTTGGCACTGACACTGTCCGTCTGAGAGCCGTGCTCCGCCGCCTCCAACACGTTACCGTACGCCTGTGGAGATAAAGGTCAGGTCAGGTCAGTTTGGGACACTAACGGCACAGAGTAACGGATGGGACAGATTGGTTACAAACGACCGCTCGCCATCCAGATAAGGCGCCAGTGTACGGCAGGATAAACACTCTCAGCACAGACTGAGTCAATAAACACGCCACAAAACGGTTGGTAAATGTATTACATCACGGCGGTTTTCGCGCAAACAGTGACCTCTTCAGAATCGATGTCAGGGGTCGGGTTCCGCGGTCTCCCGTCCGCACATCAGGCGCCCGTCCCGGGGATCTGGTGGGTCGTGTGCACTGGCCAGTCGCCCGGGGTCGACAGTCCACGGACGTTTAAAGGGCATTCGAACGTCCGCGGGCGGAAGATCAACAGGCGGACAGAGGCTGTGCAGATGGCCGTGCGACTGATGGAAGAGGAACAGTAAGAATGGGTGACGACACCAGGGTCCAGGGTTTCCTTTCCAAGTCCGCACTAACCCCGCAAAAGATGGACAAGCAGACAGTACACCGGTCACGGCCAGTCATAGCGTGCATCGTAATTACATCACCAGAAGAGTATGCAAAACAACGCCTTGGTGCAACAGCACAGCTCGAATTTACATCAAACAACCGAGCAAACACCTTTTAATTCGTTAAGTGCTTGCTGAATGTAAGGCATTTATTTTAATCGTTTAATTGTTTTTTGAATGACCTCCTTACAAAATTATACTTTTCATTCATGTATTTTTGTTTTAGATGAATTTTCGGCCACGGGCCATGATCACATCAATGCCAAATATAAGAATATTGGAAGACAAAATACAAACCAGTATAACGCCTTATGGGGCGACTAACGGAGCGAGCGAGAGGGTGGGCCTTGCACGTGCGAAATTTCGAGGGGGTACCTCCAACTGACTTGTGCACGGCACCCTACTAACCGGTCTCTAGCGATGTGCCAAATTTGAGCACAATCGGCCCAGCCGTTCTCGAGATCTGGAAGCGGCACCCTGCACGTGCGCACGTGCAAAATGGGTCCCAACTGACTTGTGCACGGCACCCTACTAACTGGTCCCTAACCGTGTACCAAATTTGAGCGCCATCGGTCCAGCCGTTCTCGAGATCTGGAAACGACCCCTGCACGTGCGCACGTGCAGCAGCACCCCAACCTTAACACATGCAGATGAATTATCTGATGGAGACCTAACTGTGTACCGAGTTTCAATTCAATCGGCCCAGCCGTTGTGCCGTTATTGAGGTTGCAATTTTGGGGGTTCTTAAAAAATGTCCAACTTTACCACGCGCCACGTGCGGTGGTTGGCAAGAACGCATGGTGGCCATCACACCACAAAACTTTTACGTCCAAGTGACATTCAGTAAAGAAGACCGCTTGTCAATCGGATGTCCCGTTCCTAAGATATTAGCTTTTGAAGAGCGTCCCCACGGCCGGCCGGCCGGCCGGCCGGCCGGCCGCTCATACTCAGAAATTTCCGTTATTCTACGTAAGACTCCGCTCGCTTCGCTCGCTCCGTAATTAGGTACAAGTCGAATCATCGTCAGTTTCTATCTTTCTACTTTTCGCGTGATAAGAATGACAGGCACTTTCACACTTGGTAATGGGTACACTCAAGTAATCGTTACATTCGCACATATCTGCATAAAACAAAAATAAAACAAAAATACATGAATGAAAAGTATAATTTTGTAAGGAGGTCATTCAAAAAACAATTAAACGAACCGAGCAAACACAAAATAAGACCTTGGAACTGGACACTCTGTGGTGTCAAATGCCCACTTTTCACACCATGTCTCCGGCTAAGCCGAGCGTGGAATCCGGATTCTGTCAGTAGCCGCCGCGCTACCGCCGCTGTCGGCGGCGCTCCGTCGGAGCGCGGTCTTATTACCGAGAACGACGCACCAGCCACAGCAGTCCACGGCAGAGGGATGGGCGCCGGTCACGCACGATAGCTACAGGCCCGCCGGCTCACGATTTATTCCGAGACGACTCCCACTCAGCCTCGCTTTTCACTCAGCCAGTTTTTGTATGTCGATTAACTGAATGGTTTCATGATTAGAAGAGCGCCAGTTGTGCTGAGCTCAGATCTCCAGAGACCAGCCGCAGGATCAGCAGTCAGTCGTGTGTGTATGGAGCCGCAGGGTCAGCAGTCGGCCGTGTGTGTATGGAGCCGCAGGGTCAGCAGTAGGGCTGATAATCCCGGGACTTTTTGGCAATCCCGGGATCCCGGGATTTTAGAAATGCAATCCCGGGATATCCCGGGATCCCGGGATTGAGCAGTTTTTATTTTAACCTGTCTACAAAGCAGAATTTTCTTGCAATATCGTATGTATATGGCGCATCCTTACCATCATAAACACAATACCAGGCATACACCTTCACCCCGAACAAATATAAGAGCATGAATGACATTGATCATTGTATTTCTTGTTTATATTTCGAGTCAGGATACAGTAGACGTGCCTACGGATTGTGGTCGTCTGACCAGCGTCCAGCAGCATGTCCTGGTCACATTCACTTGTTACGGTAGTAGCACTTGAGGAAGCAAAGTGCATCAACGACTTCGTCGCCGAGACTCGACCGCACTTTTGTGACGATATTCCCGACAGTGGAAAACACTCGTTCCGATGCAACACTCGTAGGAACTATGCCCTTCAGCCAGTTGTAGGACAGCGCTACCATGCCTGTCCTTCCTGAGATAGGTAAATTTTCCAATTCTTTCCTTATGGCCTTCGTCATCATCAGAGAAGATTGCGAAAGTTTAATCCCAAAAGTTGTTCCCACACCGCACTGCCTTTAAATTCAGCAAAATCCGACATTTTGGCAAAGTTAGCTATAGCTTATCACAAAGGCACGTAATTAATAATTATTCACTAACGGTAACCATGCCCAGGGCGCCCGGCCAGCCTCATGGATCGTCCAGCCACGGGGCACTGACAGTAACTGAGCCACCAGACGTGCTCCCACAGTCACACAGAGAAGACGGCCGACCTCCTCCCACTCGATGGACTCGAATTCGATAGTCGGCATAGTATTAGTATGTCATCGTGCAAAATGATCTGTTAAACCGAGTACGCGAGGGACGTCGCGGGGAGCGAGAGATGAGCCGAGAGAGAGCTCGTCTCTCGCCACATTGTGAAGGCTGAGACGGTGTGAAACAATGTCAATTAGGTATATATGTAACCAATACTTGTGCATAACGACTTTGCACGGCGTAAGTAAGATCTTTGGACATAAAACTGCACTGTAATGCGTTGTTACTCACTTACCTTTTTTAACATACCTACTATCAGCTACACTTTATGAACGATGTTTCTGTACGGAAAATATCGGGATCCCGAAATCCCGATGCTTCTAATCCCGGGATTCGGGATTAATACAATCCCGGGATCCCGGGATCCCGATCCCGGGATTATCAGCCCTAGTCAGCAGTTGGCCGTGTGTGTATGGAGGACAGCTCCCCGGGGATCACACGCGTGCCGTCCGAGATACCGCGCATATCCGTTCCGCCGACGGACCCCGGACGATCTGCACGCGCAGCTCACAGCCGGACGTTGCGCCAGTGACACAGTGACGGCCGAGCGGACCCACTGCCGGCGGCAGCGGCCTGGTTCCCGGGCCGACACAGCGCGGCAGTCAGCAGAACGACAGCAGCCGGCCCCGCGGCCGATCCCTCCCAGCCGCAGCACAGGCCTCCCACCGGGCGACCCAGCTCCGATCACCCGATCGGCAGCCCGCGGCGGCCAAAGAACCGCCGCCACCGCCGCCCACCGGCCGCGAGCCGCCGCAAGAACCGGCCCCAGTGGCATCACGTGACGCATGTTTTATCAACATCGTTACCGGGTGAAAAACCGGCCGGATGGCCCACCCCTGTGAGCCGGCCGGCGGCGGCCGCACCGAGTGGTAATCATGTGCCTCTGCAGTGGCCGAGCGGGGCACCGGCAGCGGTCGGCCTCAAGGCCGCCAGGTTAGCCGTCCCTCTCATGTGCCGCCGTCCGCCCCAGCCCGCCCTCCTCCCCTCCCCGCTGCACCGCAGTCACATCCGAGACCGTCCAGCCGTCCGACCCCTCCATCCGTCTGCAGTCTCCAGAGTGCCATGACCCCGGCCACAGTCGCGCTAACTGGCGGTCGCTGGGAGCGGAGGTGCCATCGACATACCGGCGCGATGAGGCGGAGCGGCGCCGCCTGAGACCGCTGCCGCTCTCACTGCCGACAGTATCACAGCTGCCGCCGGCCGCGACGGCGTCCGGGCGGTGAGCGATGGTCCCAGCTGCTGCGCGGTCCGCGCGGGCCGGGCCGCTGCAGCCTGCAGAGCGCCGTCACCCGACCGGGACCGGACCGAGGCCGTGAGGTGCTTTAACACCGACCCGACCGTGAGTGAGCGGTGAGCACCTTCACGGGACGGTGAGCGTCACGGCCGTGAGCGGCACTACCGTGACCGCGGGGATGCACCTCTATAGCCGTACTGTGTCACCATGAACCCAGCAGCTGACGTAAACGCTGGGACGTCTGCCGACGTTTGCCTGATCGACTAGTCTGCATGGATCAACCGATTTCACGTTATCCCACTCCACCACATCTTATTACAGCCAGTCTTGGTCTGGGCTCTCAGTCCTTACCTTAGCCAGCTGCGGGTCCTCCTCCGATGTGGAGGCGGCTGCCGCAGAGGCGGTGGGCTGGGCGGCGCCGCGGGAGGCCGGCGGAGGAGACAGGGCGCGCCGGTTCAGCCGCCGCCGGAACGACTGACCCTTGGTCCAGCGCTGTTTGGCCTCTGGCTCCAGCTCCGCCTGAGAACACAGAAAGGACAGACGCGGGTCAGAACGGGGCACAAAGGGGAGCAGACATGGGTCACAGCGGGGCACAGAGGCAGATCAACGGCACACAATCATTATCACAGCCAGACATATGCATAAGTGGAAGCGTAAAGACATCAAGCCGATTCAGTTTCCGTGTCAGAGAAATCGCACATACTACGCGTCAGTCAGACAGACCGAAACGAGAGGGAGAGTCACGCGTGCGGCTCTATCTGCCGCGTCCAGATACGGGGACGGACCGCAGCACTCTGGACCGGTCAGTGGTCGACCCTCACCACACCGTGTCACTACACAAACAGCGGATAGGGACGGCAAACACAGGCCGGGTCACGCCACTGACGCGTCGCAGGATACACGCAGCGGGGCACTCCCAGTCCCGACAGCCAGCGACGCACGCAGTTAGACTGACGCCACTCGCCAGAGCAATCCATAACCTAGCCGACTAACCCAGCCGCTGTTACATTATATCCTAGCGATAGTGACCATTAGCCGCATCTCGCGCTGACCAACGAACCACATCAGGCTTCTGGAAATCTGGAGAAACATGAACCACCATCAGTCATCGCCAGTTTGCAGAACGATATCCTGGACGTCATCACTATCCCCGCTCATGTAGAATCGGCCGCTGTGCTTCACGCCCGGGTGGCAACTGGTAAACGATCGGAGCACAGCACATACAGCACAAACACATAAAAAACCACCTCCGGTGGAAACATTAGTAGTCGGAGCGGACCGGCGCGGCCGAGCCGATAAACAGCGACGCGGGGTGGCTGGAGCCTGTTATCGGATGGAACCGGGCGGCGGATGGCGGGGGCAGCTCTAACTGGTGAGGTCGGGTCGAGTCAGGGCGGGTCGGACTGAACAATATACCCGGCTAGCTACCGGTATCGATGAACATTACAGCCTCTGTCTCCGCGACTGAGACCAGAGCCGCCCGTCGCGTCGGTTCAGCGGTCGGCGAGTCTGCCGATTTCGCCCGGCGTCCGTCTGACCCGTCCACGGGACTGGCCGTCGCCGTCACGCTATCCCCGGAACAGGCGGATCACGGCCACTGACATCAGCCGCCACACGCCCCAGACGCCCGGTCAATGAATCAACTCAATGCACCACATGGGCTCCGGATAAGCAACGAATGAATCAACATGAAGGACACCAGGGAGCACGACCAGCCACAAATGAACTGTAGACAAGAAACATCCTTTGAGAGAGCTTTGATCACCTTTTAACAGAATGAGCGCTTCCTGTGACCGTGGAAGCCAGTGCACAACAGGATAAGGCTTCATTGCCAAGATAATGACATAGGCAAGACATGAATGTGATGACATTTGCAAGACCAGTGCCCAATATCTCTGACATCCACAAAAGTGCATCGTACACGCCATAAAAAGGGATTGGTGGTCTGGAAGACTTTCTAAAGCCACTAAACTCGTCAATAAACTCAACAACAATGCATGAATGCGACGTGTCCCCACTGAATAACAAATCCACCTATCAGACGGCGGTAATGCCATTCAGCTATGCGGTCGGCGGCTGCGGCACAGGGCCGGTGGTCGTCCCGCTCAGCTCTCACCGGAGTTGGAGTCATGAGACCGGCGACCAGCGCTGCCAGTCCCGGCTGCACCCGGTCGTGCCACGCCGGCATCCTCCCGAGAACGGCGGCGTCACGCGATACCGCAGCGTCACGAGTGTGACGGTTCTCCGATCAGCACCCGTCACGGCGTCCTCAGTCACTCAGTCTCCCCACACACAGACACGGACGGCACGGCTCCCCACACCACCGGCGGCACACTGACTGTCCCTCGGCGGCCGGCTGGGACCACGGCGCGGCCCGCCTCTCGGTGGACGGACGCGGGGCCGGCTGGCTGGGCGGGCGGCGAGCGACTGCGCCGCCGACCTCCACTCGTCGCCCGCCGTCCGCCAGCGCCGCGGCCAGCGCCGCGCACCGCCCGACGCTCAAACAAACAGGACGGATGGACAGCGAGCCACGCGCCCGGCCAACTGCCTCGCCATGTCCAACGCGGAATGAGCTACTTAGCATCTCAGATAAGAGTAGCACGCGCTGTGATTAATAAAGGCGAGCAAGTGAGTCAGCTTTGGTGTGTAAGGGCAAACACACTCGTGCTTTGTACGCAAACTGGAACAGACGAGGACGCGAAAATCCCAGCAAGGTTACTCCCAAGAAATCAGTCCACAGTCCCAGCACTTCCGAGCATATCTCCACAGCACGAGCTCAGGGAGAGAATGCGGGCGTCGCTTCCTTCCTGCTGTTTTCACCCCGGCCACTCACAAAGATGAGGAAATTCCGCGACTACCACTGAGGTGGCTGGATATTACCACGAACTCTGCGAACTAATTCGGATTATTTCCTTATCATCCTTCAGTGCAACGCACAATATGAATGCATCATCAACAGGGAATTTCACATTAAATAATTATAAACACCATGCTAGAGCGAACGGCTAGTCATACGAATAATGGATCAACCATGGCGACGACAGGACAGAAATAATCATTCCAGCATAACCTTTCGCATATTCTTCAAAAGATCCGCATAGAGCTATACCGAAATGTTTTGATGCTATTGATATCTCAACTGCATTGCTGGTCACTGACTTTTGCTAGCGTTTTGCATAAGAAGCCCTAACAAATGTCTCAGAAAGACGTCAGCACCTTGCGTAAGTCACGTCGGATCGCATAACGTCAGTCCGAGTCGGCAGCATCTGGCTCAGTCGGACGTCAGAGAAGTCAGTAAAACAGAGTAAAACGATAAAACAGACGGGCGACACATGCGACTGAACAGACGGCCCTCACAAAAACGGCCCACAAACGTCCCAGAACGCCCGAACACATCCGACGGAGAGACGGCGCTTTGTCCGGAATGCCTTTGAAGTTGTACCAATGACAGGCGCTACACATGCAATTAGGCACACTGAGAACGCCGTAACAGCGGCTGTTGTAGCCAATGTTACCTTCATGTTCTGCTACTGGTGGCTGTCGTGGGTGGACGGGGCGGCTCTCTCAGTCCTCAGCGGTCACACCGGACACCGGAGAGCGCGGCCAACCGGCGACCTCGCGGCGAGCGGGAGGCGCACTGACGGCCGTGCCCAGCCGACGTCCGTCGAGCGCTGGCGGCACGCGCGCGTCGCCGCCGCCGGACATCCTGTGGTCGACGATAGCGCCGCGCCGCCACCGCCGCCGACAGCTGACGTGGTCCGACAGACCGACCAGCGGGGGCAGAGACCAGCGACCAGGCCTAATACGGAGCCGGCCCGACAGCCGCCAGACAAAGGCCAGGGAACGCCGGCGAGTGTCCAAAACTGGCCGCACGGGTCACCGCGCCGACCAGGTCACCGCAGAAAGGAAGCGAGAGCCGAGAACAATCCGGGACGTCGTGAGTCGCCGCGGCGGTCATAGACGCGATATTTCCCAACCACAACTCATGTCATCTTTGCCTATGGTCGCGGCGAGGCTCTGAGCGTGCCCTAGACACTAATCAGCGGTGAATCGGCCCAGAATGACATTTCGTGACGCATGACCCTTGGTGGTCAGCCGGCTGCCACGGCGCCCGCCTCAGGGGGCGGCGCTCCTCCCTCGCCACGCCCCGGCTCGCATACTGATCGGCTGGGTCCCGGCTCGCCGGCCGTCCGTCCGAGAGTCCGGGGTCACGACTTGTGCAGCCATCACGACCGGCCCAGCGCCGGAGCAGACGGACGCAGACTGCTCTCCAGGCAGCCGGCCGGTCCAAAACGCTGCCTCAGCCGCCGCTCTCGTCACAATGTGGGCCACGGAGGCCCGATCGCGCGGCGCTCTACACTCCAGGCCCTGCCGGAGAGCGCAGAGTTCGGAACCGGCCGACCAAAGTTTGGCCGAATAAACAAACAGTTTACGTTCTCTATGGCGCCGTGCCGGTCAGAACCATCACTCTTCTGACTCGCTCCGAACAAGGAATAATTGGATGTCAGCGATGCCGAGACAAATGACTGGTCCAATTCATTTCGGGCGGATACTAACGGGAAGTGATCGAAAGCTAACAATGCGAGCGGCGAGCCCATCCCAGAATCTGCCGCTCGCCCCAATCATTCGCAGGAACGAGTTTCATATCGTTTCACAGCAGCGGCTCAGACCATTTCCTGGTTTCAAAGCAGCACGCGGCGAGATCTGCACCCGTTTACCCAACTTTCCTAAAACTCCAGCGAAGCCCACAACACGAGATGTTTGCTGATCAGGTGATCTGGAGCATCAGCAGACATAGGGGTGGGGAAAGACGGGTGAATCCCGGTCGGTGCCCGCTGCGCAGCTCCCCGCCTCAGAGCAGCATGCCATGCTGCTGAAGCTGATCAAGAATGCAGGTCGAGATGGTGCTTTTAGCCAGTATGAACCGGCTTCTGGTCACTGCACTGCACCAGTGCACCAGTCTTATCAGACCGGACACAGTTCTGAAACCATGGACCACTGTACTGGCTGCCCTGCCTGCCCGGAGAGGCAGAGATAACGAGACAAGCGAAGGAAGGGAAATTCATGACCGGACCATGTCCGGTTCCATACCATATCGTGACACCAGCGCCGCACGCTCGTGAGGCGTGACACAACCATTTCAACTGGGGCGCACCTTCACCCAAGGGAGATTATCCCGCCGTTATCACCGCCCCCGGCCACCAAATCAGCTGTGATAACTTTCCGTCATTCTGCGCCGTACCATAGACAGTCGGACCCATAAGTGACAGTCCGTTGGGAGCGGTACACTTCCGACACGGCCGGTAATCACGGAGCACAGAGCGGCGCCGGTCAGAGGTCACGCACTCGTCCTGTGACCATCGCTCAAACAATAGGCGCCGTGCCGCGCGGGATGCCGACACAGCACAGTGACACCCATCAGGGACCGCTGACGACACGCGCACTACATCCTGTGACCCGCAGCAGGTGTGAGAGAGGCCGCCCCAGGTCACCTGCTCGAGACCCAGCGGCAGCGGGAG